ATAATTTGAACCACCAAAATTGCCAAATTCTATTGACATATGATGCATTTAATCTCGTAATAGGATATTAGAATAACTGTGAAATTACCTGTGTAACAATTACTATCCTTAACGTTAGTATCCAAATGAACATGTTTTATACTAATTTTTCAATTCCGCATCTTTCTCGATGACTAGAAAGCGTGATATCACCACGAGAGACAACACAATACTAACGACCTTCCTCAATTTAAATGTATGTAACGACATTCCTACCTCTCCCCACTTACTCAAATGATGTGTTCTTCCGTTTTATTAGTGGCATGTAAATCTCTGGGAATTTCTCCGTGTCAGTTTGCCTGTTAAGACCATTTCTTTGTTTTTTGACATGAACCATTTCTGATGTCAATCTTTTGTACAATCCTGGTTCTCTATCCAAAATTTGAATATTATCCCAATCCAATTTATGATTTAATTTTATCTGATGTTTAGAGACCGCCGTATGTGAATCTTTCTGCTTTTTTGTATCTGATACATGTTCTTTTATATGAGTACCCAATTTCCTTTTCGTCTGCCCTACATATGAAGAATTACAATCACTGCAGTTAATTTTATATACTATCCCTGCGTTGTCCATTCTATTTAATTGATCTTTACCAAGTCTGATTATCGAATTCAAACTATTCATAGGTTTGTAAGCAACTTTTTGATCTATTTTATTTGCGATGTTATTAAATTTTTCCGATATATTCCCTACATAAGGAACCGTGAAATATTTTTTAAACGAATTATTATCATCAGTACTATTTTTATCTTTTGAAATGTTTTCGTGAGGATTTTTTCTTTTTGATATTTTTTTGACTCTATCATTAATAGTTGAAAAAATGATGTCTAAAGGATACCCATTTAGTAACAAGATCCTAATTAATTCTTCAATATTCTTTTCTTGATATTCCGGATGTGATAACAAAAGTATTCTATCAAAAAGGCCAATGATTACACTTTTCTTGTGTACATCTGGATGGCAAGATTCAAAATTTAGATATTGGCCCGAGTTTGTAGGTTTTTTATAGACATTAAATTTAAGAGTATTATTATTAATAATTAACACTGACAACTAAAAAACTCACAGAGCCACTCTCACCTTCATCTAGTGTGAATTTTATTCTATTATGATAAGAATTAAACTCTTTCAAAACCTCAAAAACACAACTCCGAGGGAGTACAATAAGAATGTCGTCAATATAACGGAAATAGAACGGAACTGAGATACTCAGAGAGAGAGAGAGAGAGAGAGAGAGAGAGACCACTCAAAATTTTATTCTCTGAATCCTGGATTACCATATCTGCTAATATCGGTGAAAGCGGCGAACCCATTGGCGTACCAAAAATTTGCTTGTAATATTTATCGTCAAATTTAAAGTATGTAGAATTTAGAATCATAGAAATCGCCCCAAAAATTCTTCTATTGGAATGTCCGTGTTATTCGATATATCAACCCATCTTTTTTTAATGCTATCAATAATTAAATTTTCTGGAATGTTAGTATACATAGCTGTAATATCAAAGGAAACGATTTTATGATCCGAATCTATTTTTCTTCCATTTAATTTATTAACCAGTTCATAACTATTTTTTATGTAACTAAAACTTTTTTTCCGACTTTTATCAATGATTTATTTTAAATATGTGGACAATTTATAATGAGGATTGTTAATACTACTAACAATAAACCTTAGAGGGAAACCTTTTTTATGAATCTTTGGTAAACCGTACATTCTAGCCACCACATCATCCGTTACCTTTAAATTTTTATACGTTGATTGATCCAAGTATCCCCTTTCATTCCTTCTGCTCAGTAGTAAGAGTGCTTGTTTAGTTAACATATTAGTCGGATCTTTCTTGACGTTAATATAAGTTTCCCTGTCTGACAAAATACATAACATTTTTTGTTTATAATCTGAACAGTTCATAATGACAGTTGAATTGCCCTTGTCCACTTTTGTGATCAAAATGTTTTTATGATCCCTCACAAATTGCTGTGCCTCTTTCATTCCTCTTTCCAGCAAAGAGCTCTTATTTGTATCTTCTATAGGATTATTGTAAGTTAATTTTTTTAAAACTTCTATACTCTCATTCCTAACAGTATTCTTCGTCATGGTATCTAGTTTAAATATATTTTGTTCGATCTGTTTGATGAATTCAGTAATTGTAATTTCTCTATTATTGATGTTGTATGGAAGGTTAAATTTTTGTCCTAGTTGTAGTATCATTTTAACATTATTCGATATATCTACATCACTTAAATTTACAAGCCAGTTTTGGTTAATATCTTGTAAGGAAAATTTAGTATCATAATACTTTTGTGGATTAATTTTAACCTGATATATTTTATCCTTATTACTTTTTGTTGAGATCTGAAAAGAAACTTTTTTTAACCTAGACGGAATGAATTTAGCATTAACAACAGTGGAATCCGACCATAACAACTCATATTGTATTGGTTCTATACTACTTCTCTTCAAACTCTCAGAAGATTCCTTTAATGTACTTAGTTTTTTATTTATCCTTTTGTGTTCCTTTAACCAAATTCGGTTCATTGTCCTTTCCTGAATTCGATAATCAGACTTGGTAAAGATCAATTAAATAGAATGGACAACGCAGGGATAGTATATAAAATTAACTGCAGTGATTGTAATTCTTCATATGTAGGGCAGACGAAAAGGAAATTGGGTACTCATATAAAAGAACATGTATCAGATACAAAAAAGCAGAAAGATTCACATACGGCGGTCTCTAAACATCAGATAAAATTAAATCATAAATTGGATTGGGATAATATTCAAATTTTGGATAGAGAACCAGGATTGTACAAAAGATTGACATCAGAAATGGTTCATGTCAAAAAACAAAGAAATGGTCTTAACAGGCAAACTGACACGGAGAAATTCCCAGAGATTTACATGCCACTAATAAAACGGAAGAACACATCATTTGAGTAAGTGGGGAGAGGTAGGAATGTCGTTACATACATTTAAATTGAGGAAGGTCGTTAGTATTGTGTTGTCTCTCGTGGTGATATCACGCTTTCTAGTCATCGAGAAAGATGCGGAATTGAAAAATTAGTATAAAACATGTTCATTTGGATACTAACGTTAAGGATAGTAATTGTTACACAGGTAATTTCACAGTTATTCTAATATCCTATTACGAGATTAAATGCATCATATGTCAATAGAATTTGGCAATTTTGGTGGTTCAAATTATTGCTATCGGAGATGTTGATTGAAAAATGTGATAATACTAAAGCTATCGGTTATTCGAGCGGGAGATAAAGGTATAATTTGATGGTTATTTGGATCACGAGTAAGACTCCACCGGCACACGCACGCCGGAAAAACGTTCGGTGAACGTTCGAACTTAAACCGTTTGAAAATGGTTCGGACCTGCCACCATACGAACGTTCGTTTGACGTTCGCAGGGAACGTTCCGCATCTAACGTTCCACGAACGTTCGATGAACGTTCACGGAATATTTGGTCAGAATTGTAATGGAGTTAAATAATAAAAAGCAATTTTTAAAGGTTTTAAGACTTTATTATATGTATTAAAAAAGAAAAGCTGTCAAAACGCGCGATTTATTTTATGAATCGTTATACATAGTTCTTTCTGAAACATCTTTCTTTTAACCACTCTTTTATCCCATTTTCTGCCTTTCCTATATCTAATCCATCTCTTCTTAATTTTTTTACTGCCGCTGAAATAATATAAAATTATGGAAATGTCAAAATGCCTGGAAATAAATGTCAGGAAAGAAATCGATGTAAAAGAAAAAAATTTCTAAATTTTACTTACTGATTACTGTTTCTTTTAAATGCCAGCTCCCAAATGGCTGCTTTCCCTTTCCGCCTTTCCAGTTAAAAAACGTTCCCGTGTGATTTGTCATAAGAAGAGCCATAACTTTCTTTGAGCAATCCTTCTCACATTTCCCAGAGCTTGCAAACATTAATTTTTTTATCTAAAAATTTTTTTAAAGAAAATGTGAGATATTCAAATAACAAAACATAATGATTGAGTTAAAGGTACTACTCAAACAACACATAATAATATTTAGAAAATAGTTACAAAATATTTATAAATATTTATAAGATTTATTTTAAATATTTTGTAAATATTTTTGTGATCTTGGATTGCACAGATTATAAACATTTATTATAAATATTATGAAATATTGATTGTAAATGTCATAGTAAATGGTATGAAAATATTTAATGAAATATTATAATCCAAGTAAAAAATACTTATTAGAAATATTTATTTATATTTACCATAAATATTACATGATGACCATAAATATTTAGTCTATATTTTAATAATATTTCAAATAAAGCTTTATATAAAATATGTATGTAATATTTATGCAACATTTAAAAAATTGAATATTAAATATTTATCATAAATATTCTGTGCTGTCTGGGTAATATCTTTCAATTTACAATATAATCTTTTATGGAAGGGTTTCTATTTGTAAGATCTTCAGCAATTTTAATATCCTCGAATGTTGCGAAAGGTAGATTTGGGAGACCCTTTGGTTGACGGAGTACTTCTGTCCTATTTAATAAAAGCTGGCGTACTTCTTCAACTGTTGTTTGGATCTTCGTATTCGTCTTTTCAATTACACAGAGTTTTTCGTACTGCAGTTTCATAACCTCTGTAAAGTGACCAAATAAATTTAAAATATTTTACATAAGAATTAGTTTACTTTGAAATTAGAGAATACTATTTACGAATAGGTGAAAGTTTATCAATTTTCTTGGCACACATTGTGTTTGTAGTAGCCGTTTCAATATTTTTGCTGCTAGTGGAGTCTGTAATTAAAAATAATGTTAATCAATGAATTTATTATTGAAGAACATTATTACTGACTTAAAAATGTTATGAACAAAATCCAAAGAGTTATTAACAAAACAGTATCTCACCATCATCAAAAAATATCAAAAATAAAAAGTTCATAAGAATGATCTAAGTCCTTAGAGTCATCCTCACTAAAAGAATCAGAGGTGATGCGTGTTCCCGTGGGGAACTTGTTGCTCGAGGGTCTGTTTTCTCAAAATTAGTGCAAATGTTGTTCCCTGGAAACAAGATATAGGGTCAAAAGACATGTATCCAAAGTTATTATGACATTTCGTGATTTTTACATTTAAACTGCTAAAAACTGGAAAAATCCAATCATTATAATTTACCACCTTTTGCAGTAATTAGAAAGTCATTTGAATTAGAATTTGAGGGGCTTCTAACACTTTCCAATGAACTTAACACATTATTGTTTTCCACTTTTTCATTAATATCAGCAATCCCGAGAACAGATCGTTGAGATTTATCTGTTGTTGCTGTAATACGAATAATGAATAGATAATGAATAAAAATGATCGATGAAAGAAAAAGTGACATTAAACACTTTATTTTGTCAATACCTTTTTCCGTTGTGTCTTTATTTTCTTTTCTGTTCTTATACTTACTAACATCGAAATGTTTTTTTACAGATTTTTGAAACTTGCTTACAGTTCCTGCAAAGAATTAAATTCATTTTCGTTGTGTAACTAATATTAGCGAAAATAAAATTATTGCAAAGAATTATCATAGGTCATTACCATCACCTTTGTCATTTCTGTCCTTATCTTGACTAAATTGTTTTTTTTTATTAGTGCTGGACTTGGAAACACTGAGAGATGATCTGCTACCATTTAATTCTTTCTTGCTACTGTTGTAGCTTGATTGAGAAATATTAAAAAATTTCTTGTTGCCCTGTTTGTATTCCTTTTTGCTGTTACTGCAGCCCGGCTGATTAACATTAAGTGATGATTTGGTAGGTAATGCTACATGAAGGAAAAAAGAAAAGAAAATTTTTAAATCTTCAAACAATATTTATATCTGACTTTTATCTTCATTGTGAAAGACAACCAAGATCAAAGAAATATTCTTGGACGTACCAGTCATTGTTTTTAAAATCCTTGATACATCATTAGAAGATGTTAAAACTGTAGAGCTCTTATGGGACTTATAATTAGTAGTCATTTTTACTAGAGCCACTATCCAAGTTACCGTTCTCTTTGGTCTGGTCACTGATGCTTTGTGATACTGATGAAACTGAAAGCAAATAACAGTCTTTATTACTTGCATGATTGTGGCAGGCAGGGTATTGAATTTTCACTAATTTTCCAGAAATTCTTTACCAGGATAAAAATAAAGTAATAATAATGATAATCCTTTTAGAGTACAGTCTCCAAGTAAAATATAAAATAGAAATGGAAAAATCTTTTATTGTTTCGAAAAACAAATTATTGAAGAAAGACATTTTATAATTTGAGATCTATAAAAATTTCCCTTACGATAAAAAGCGCAAGTTGTATGTAAAATAAATAAAGATATTTACCAGTTTCTTCAGGCAAAAGCGAGAAAGTAAATGTTGGCAAAACCAAACTGTTGCCCTTATGTGAAGCAGAATCAGATTTTCCTACTTTTGTCGGATTTTTATCGGTTTCATCTTCCGACGATGACAAATCTGTAAAATGTTTTCTCTTGCGTAAACCTCGATTTGCCTTATCTTCGTTTGCATCAGATTCTAAATCAGTTTTTTCAACAGCCCGTTGTAACTTCCTTCTTGCTTCTTCATATGTCACTAAAAACGAATAAAGGTGATATTCATTCATCCGTTTTTGTCATATGACAAAGGCAGGATAGGAAAGTTCTCTCTATCCTATAGCCATTACTAGCCTCAAAAAATTTATTGTATGATGAAAACGGAGAAATAAAATAGCCCATAAAAGATGTTAGCACAATGTTAAAAAAAAATAAAAGGAATAGCCAAAAGAATGAGACTTACTAGATAAATAAAAATAAAAATACATTAGCTCACCATACTCATTATTATACCTAAACTAAAAAAAAGAAATAAGAGAAATTATCTTACCAAACCAAGCACGAATAGTGGCTGGATAGGTGTTGAATTTTGCAGTAGGCTCCATGCATGTCTTCGTCGCGGTGGCTTGTTTTTTAGGGGCTAAGTAAGTAGGATAAAGACAATTTTCACCATCTTCACTAATCTAATTATGCGCTATTACGCACACATCCAAATGCTTTTCATCACCAACGGTAACTTCAAGATCCGCAATGGCATACTTTTTTTCTAAAAGTTTGAATTTGCAACAGAATTGATGAAAGAGGTGCACACTTCCCAACATTTGCATGCCAATTTTATAATTAAAAAACAGGCAAATTTTATAATCAGACATTATTAATAAAAATATTTAGTGTGTGCATCATAATTAAAGGTATTTAATTAAATATAAAACAGTATTATCAAAAAGAGCAGAAAAAGGTTATATAAACAAAAACAACAAAAATGTTAGTCGATGCAACTGGCAACTCGATATTATTTTAATCGTAGAAAAATGTAATATGAGGTATACCATATCTGCGTATCAATAATAAGAATTTCAAGCATTTCAATCAATTTCAAAATATAAGGCTGAAATAGAAGTTAGAATCATGCAATCACAGAAAACAAAACAAATGTAATAAAAGAAAAAGTGTAATTATAGTAATGCAGTCTGGGTCTACAAAACCATAATTTTGTCTGTAACGTTACAAACTTCATATGACAAGGTATTATTCTTCTGCATAATTGATTTTCACCAATGAGGCATCAAATGAGGCACTCTCTAGGAACACCTAGTAGGAAGATAATTACATGTCATTGATGATACAGCAAAACAGTGTCACACAACTAAGAGGAGGAGAAAAGAGTGGAGCTATAAAATAACAAATTACACAATACCAGGCTATTATATATTCATTAGAGATCTCAAGTAACCTCTTTAAAGATAAGAATCTTTCAAGTCAATATTGAGAGAGAGAGAAAGAGAGAAACTATGCATATAAATAGATGCAAGCATATAATTTAAAGATGAAACTTTCAAATTCAAAATAATAATTTCTTATTTTGAACCGAGCCAAAAAGAAGAAATATATATTTACTTTATACATAGATAGATAAATAGATAAATAAATATATGTATAAACAGAAAAACAGACAGTTAAATAAAGAGATAGGTAAAGATAGATACAGAGAAAAATAGATAACATGATCTATAACTTTATTTAAAATGAATGCAATAATGGTATAGCAATGTTATCATTCTCGTAAGGGAGGACAACATATTTGGTTGTTACAGCATTAATTGGGATAATAACATTTGTTTGAGTCCACTTCATACAACCGAGATTATAAATTCCAAAGTAACTAGACTTGCATGGATAGTCAAAAAAATTTGTCTTTGTATCACAAATGTTAGCAATAATCACAACATCACCATTTTCCAATTTCTGGATAGAACGAACAGAGGCAACACTTCCTTTGTACTGGAAATAGCTATCTCGCCTGTGAACTGAACTTAAAGTGAAGAGAGATGATGTTAGTATCTTATAATTGTTAGTGCCATGTATAGGATTCTTAGGTGTCAGATGAGATTGAAAATTGATTATTCTTTCACAGAAATCATCTAAAAAATTTCTTTCTGCTAGCCTGCGGAACAGTTGCTGTATTGGCTTAGTTGGAGATCTTAGCATCTGTTTGAATATTCCCAAAAAGCTTTCAAATGGGAATGCACTTATGCTTGATATTTCTCCATATTTTCTTACATCCTCATAGAGATGCAACAATCCATGAATATTGTAAACACAAAATTTTTCTCCAAATACGTCTTTATTAGAAGATAAGATGACAAATTGAGCTATGAGATCTTTTGCAAATGAAAAATAATTTTCATCGTCGATAAGTTTCTGTACAGAGAATATTATAATTGCTATTTGAAGCATTATGAATAATTTATAGAGAATTTCAGCCACAACATCTTTCAATACTACACACCCCCCATAGAGTAGGAAAAACCTCAACTGAGTTCCCTTCCATTTCCCTAACTGTTCTAGTCCAACTGGTTTGCGAGCAAATTCCATTGGAATATACTTTCGTAATTCTACCAGCCTCCGAGAAATCTCAAGAATGCTTTCACCTCTTAATCGCATTCCTGATTTCGTTCCTCTTAAAACAAACATTAAGTACCTTTTCACTACACCTTCAAGAACTAAATGAAATGGATCAAGAGCAAACTGAGAAACCATTTTTAAATTTAATCTTAGGAGAGGTGAAACTCCAACATGATGCTCTGGATCAGATTGATGGATAACGTCCTCGTCTGATCTAAACTCAATAATTCTGATAGCGTAGCACATTCTGTTAAAATGATAATCCCCTGATTGCTTACACCTTTCACAAGCATTATAAGATGCATGTCCCACAATACGTTTAATATATTGCCTAGCAGGTGCATCACATATAAAACATCTGATATAAACCTCATACTTACTTTCACCAACAGTTAAGGTATCATTGAATAACTGCAAAGTCTCTTCTATAAATGAATGCAGATAGTCCTCAAGAGGGTCAGGTTTACCAGTACCAACAAAAAACCCTACTACAAATGGTCTGCTATTAAGTCCAACGAACGACATAATATTGGCCAGACATCTGTAATCGTACTTTTTGTCATATTTATCCCATCAATATTTACATCTATTCCTATACGCATATTGCCATCAATGTTTAGACCACTTTCCACACGTTTCTGTAATCCACTTATCAAACCAACATGGGCATATGAACCATTTCTTAGATTTTGAATTGCTGCCTTTCTAGGAGTCTGATTAAGTGTTCTTGGATCTAAAGGCAATTCAGGATGTAAGGGCTTGAGAATGTGTAATAATGATCCACATGCATCTCGCGTTATATTGTACTGCACATTCCATAAGCACAGTTTCTGGGAGAGATAATCGACTTCAGCCTCTGCATCACTCACTTCACTTGTGGAACTATCAGAGCTATTACTTCTATTAAACAAGTCATGTCTGACACAAATCACGCCATCTTCAATAACATCATCTATTTCCATATAATCATTGTTATCAGATTTGTTAAGACCATCACTTGACAAACAAAGCTCGTCACAATTATTTGAATTATTTTCCTGTAGATTAGAAATACTTAAAAGATTATTCTGTTGGTCATCTTTACTATTCGAATTTCCTGGAACCAAGTCATCTAGAAAATGAAAAGAAGTTGATAAATCTACTTCTTCGTCTAAAAACTGCAAATCATTTTCAGTGATTCCAGCAAACACTGTTAATGCTTCAGATTTGGCCTGCCATCTAATCTGCTTCAAGCCTACAAATTTCCTCTGTAAATTCATATTAAAACGAAAAAATGTAATTTTATCACATTCGAATTACTTTATATCTTATAAGAGATGAGCTCAATATCATATAAAAAGTACACAAAGCAAGCTGGAACAAAAATAATTTAACTTAAAAATAAGACAGAACTATATATAATGTTCACAATATCACATAATATATGTATATTTTATAATGTTTACAGTATAATGAGATCACTTGAAATATGAAACAATTATATAAGATTAAACAATAAGAGACAAAATAAGATTGCAATGATTGAGGAAACTAGAAAAAGGTTTAAAGCAAGTAATTGATTCTATACTGATTAAATAAAACAAATAAACATAGTAAAACATGAACATAGTGATTGTGAACAGCACTATACGTACCCTGCACTCGTAAAAAGAGTAAAAGAATTAAATCAAATATCTAGGGAAATACGATTTTCTTTAGAAAGAAATAACATTCGTACCTTTCATCATAGTTTCATCTACGTAGGTCAGCAAGCTGAAACAAAAATAACAAAAAATTTGCAAATTCTTACATAATAAAATTTGGAGGAACAATTATATATTATTTCATTGAATTATTACAAGTAGATCTCATTTTACACAGAAAATTTACATTATTAATTTCCGGCGTATGAGATAAAGTAGGAATATAAAATGATACTAATTGATTACTTCTATGCATGAATGAACAGATCAAAGTTTTAGATCTATATATATGAAAGATTATACTAATTCTTGCAAATAAAAAGTCAGAAAATAAGATTGAAGATTTTGAGAAAAGTTTGGATACCGAAGAAAAGTCCAAACAGAAACAATTTTCAGTAATATTGAAAATAATGTAACTCTTACTAAAAATGTGTATTATATATAGGTTATGAATCAGTTATTGCTAATAAATAGATTATAAGAGTCTTTCACTGATTTATCTTGCAACATGCGTGCAAACTTAGTATAACAATTAAAAACAATCGGAAAAAGAGTACTGTAAAAACACTCTGAAGTTGAAAAAGCTATGCACGTGCGCTGAAAAGTAAATAAATTTCATCCGCCTCAATATATATGCATGTAAGTTTGATGCGCACCGCGATCTCATTACACATTTATAAGTGAAATTCCAGTAATTCAAAGCTTTGAACTTTCTTTTCATTACTCAAAATGTACCACTTACCTTGACTTGTTCTTCTGCTTTTATAATTATAATGGCTCGCACGTATATACCTCCAGTTTCTTCAAAAACTCCCTCCGATTGAGGAAAAGTATAGGCGTCTTCTGTACGTATATCTCCAGCATTCCAGATAGTATTATAGGTTAGATCACGTCCAAAATGAGTATACTATGGCTGGGTTCGGGGAGACGCTATTAGCGCTATTTGTGTCATTCTATCTTCATCGTCC